TTTTTAATCATATAACCAATGACAGATACGACATTATAAATATTGTGATAGTTTATTTTTCCAAACTTTTCCAAGCGTGTGGCACACATTGAGATATATACAAATAATTAACAAATTTGTAAAAATGAATACAATGAGCAGAATTTTAAAAGGATGATTATTTTGAAACACTGATGTTTCTAGAATTCTTAAATGATATATCAACATATGTTAACTGCAACTTCTCATGTTTAATGATGTTTACAATTAATACAATTTAGTACTCACCAATATAAGATTAACAGTCATAATTAACTCAGAATAGATTCTTTGAAGTGGTTCAAAGGGCTTTTTGTACTAAATTACTAGCTTCTAATCAGCTAATATAAAGGGAGTATTTTTTAGGATGTGAGAAGTATGTGTGTGTCTCATAAAACATTTAATTTAGGTTAATGAAATGAGTTTGAATAATCCAGATTCACTGTACCAAGTCAGAGATACGTCTGACATTCCAGCGAAAGCTTTATTTAGATGGAGTTGAGCAATCTTTGAGATAACAGGCTTCGGACTATGATATCTCGAGTGTCGTAGTTGAATAGTTTCTCCAGAATCTTTAAGTCCTTTTCAAACTATTTTATGAATGAATTCAATTAATGAAAGATAAATACATTTTCTCTTTTGGATTTCTTAACCAGTTTAAAGAACGTTGAGTTTGGAGGTTCATAAAATCAAATTTCGCCTGAGAAAATGTTATTTACACGTGTGAGGCTAGCCCTGGCAAACCTCTGGGATCCTGTTCCATTCACTCAGGCACTGTTGAGATAAGGAGAGTGAAGTGTGAGCTAAATAGGGTGAGTCTTGAGCAAGGTCATTCCTACCAGAGCACTGGAGACACCAAGCTCTCAAGGGAGCTGTGGTACATAAAAAGACGCTACTCGAGTACATTTTCAAAATATAAATATTTTGAAAGGGTAAAAATGAGGGTCCCTGTATTAGAGGATGTAAAAGATGAAACAGAAGAGGAAAAAACAGGGGAAGAAGAAAATGAAGAAGACCAGGTGAGTAAAAAAGGACCTACTCAAGAACAGTGTTTGTTCCTCTAAATAGATGATGAGAAAAATATTCCTTTTCCTTTTTTTCCAACAGGTCTTCTTTAAGCCTATCATTGAAGACTTAAGCATGGAATTGGCCAGAAAATGCACCAAACTCATCAGCGATGTAAGTGGCTTAAGTAATTTCTGTCTTACTTTGCTTTGCACGTGTAGTACTATTAAGGTATAAAGTCACAGAGCGAGGGAAAAAACCCTGAAATCATCTCTTCAAACACAATTATTTTCCAGATCGTAGAACTAGGTACAGAAATGTTCAGTGATTTCCCCAAGGTCACCTAGACAGAGAATTTCTGCTAGAGCAAATTTCCTCATTCTTAACCCAGAATCCTGTCTCCTATGAATTTTGCTGTCCCTCTGGCATGAGATCATAAGGCATTGAATTTCAGTGCATCTTCTATTTGAGAACCCCAAAGACTTTAAAATTAATATAATGATGTAATTTGTCTTGGGAGGATCTCTATCTATTATAAATGAGTGACTTTTAACATTTGGGTGACCTTTTGAAGGATCTCGTGAATGCAATTGTTTTCCAAACCAGGAAAATGCGTATACCTATATGCATATAATAATTATTTACAATTTGGGATTTATGGATTACTGAACTGCATGTTAAGAACCCTGATCTAGATGATGATTATTAGTGAAAAGGAGCATTTTGGTTGTGACTTTTTTTTAGTAACTGAGATTGGTTTATATTATATTGCAAGGGAATCCTAGAATTAAAGAACTAGTCAACATATATATGTATATATATTTCATGGTAAATATGTAAACTAGAATTCCAGAAGTACAAGGAAAAGTATTGCTCACTAGGAATGAGAATTTAGATGATCTTCATTAACAGCTGAAAGAGAATTGCTTGTACGATGGGAAGGTGGCTCCTATGAAGTGAGCATGTGTCTGCGTCTTCATTTGGAGACAGGAGCACAATACTGGTTGTTTCTCTTGTTGGTAATGAGCGAAGCGACTGGAATATTTTACGATTGTTTATTTTCAAAGAAAGTCAGTCCTGGACGCAGGGTGGGGTAGTGTGCTGCTGTGTCCTCTGAAGTCAGCCTGCGTGGGTCGACTCAGCTGTCACCTTGGGAAGGTTATATAACCTTGCTGGGCTCAATTCCTTAGGTGTAACATTTGTAATAGGAAGACTAAATAGTGGTAACACATCTAAAATGCTGAGTGAGTCGTCTGGAACATCGTGGGTACTCAATAAATGGTAGCTGTTACTAACTATTGGATCTGTAACTAACTTTTGAATCTATCCAATCACGTTTCCTATATGGGGCTGTGTTGCCTTCTGATTTGTCAGAAAAGAGCCAAAGGATGGTGGTGAGAATCCTACCCCTTCCTGTATACTTGACATGTGATGTAATGAAAATTTAAGTTAAGAATTTCTTTGTGCTATTACTTAATAATCATTAGCTACTGTATGTGAAAGTTCTTTATAAACTGCAGTAAGAATAATGAAACAACAGTGACAACAACAGCAATAGCGATATCAGCAACAGTTAAGATTTATGTGCCAGGCACTGCAGCTTGAAAGGTAGGTTCTGTTCTTTTGCCCATTTTGGAAGTGAGGAGATGGAGGCACAGAGAGGTTAAGCACCTTGCCTGGGTCACACAGTAAAGCAGAGGGAGTAGGACTTGAACACAAAGCCCTTTCTCGTCACTCTGCTGTGTAATCTCTCACTGTAGATTTCCACACAAATTTTATCTTAGCTTTATTATCACTTATTATGCTAATATTAGTAACAGTAAGCCCACCATTTAAAACCTTAAATTCCTAATGTGGGAGGTAATACGACTTTCAGCTTTGATATGTTTTTATTGAAGTGTAATTATAACTGAGCTAAACTGTATTATGTAAAGCATTAGGATTAAAGTGGTAACTATAGTTAGTAGGTGATTTTGTTGCAGTTGCTTTGGATAAGATTGTTTATCAGTGACTTGAAAACCGACCTGTGGTGAGAGGTGATGGCCTTTGTCATTTTGCAAAAGCCAAAGCCCTGTTATTTCTTGCCCCTGTAGGTAAAATCAAACACACGGCATAATTTCTGTTTGATATAGATTTATGTTGCATGGCAGAATATCCACACTGCCTAAATATTCATACGATTATTATTGTGTTTAATTTATATCTGTGTACACATTCACATTTTGCTTCCAAATACAATTCTGTACTTGCTAAGAAACTTGCTTAATTTTTAGAATTTTTACATTTACCAATAGTCTGAAAAATTATTCTTTTTGTTCCTAATGAAAGTGGAAAGAGGAATTTGTGCAATCATCTTAAAAACAAATTTTAATTTGTCCTTTCTGGAAGGAACTGGCATATTGGACTAAATCAAATTTATAGTTTTTTAAAAAGCGTGGTTAAATAGTATTATTAATAACTTGCTTATTCTTTCTCAATGTCATCAGTGCTTTTGTATGGAACAGACGAACTTATATTTGAAATTCTTGTCTCTGTTATATCTTCTGCGTGGCCAGATGGTTGTCTAGAACGCATCGGTCTTGGAGCTAAAACAGATATAAAAATTGATGCCCTGCCACACCAACTGAGACCCGAGTTCTGGTCAAGCCTGTCTGATATTTCTGATTGAGCCCATTTGTTAGTGACCTCCACTTAATGTAGCGCACCATTTCGCCCGGTCTCAAACTTAAATTTAAACCCAAACCTTCAAGTATGTTCGTTTTGTTTTATAATCCGTATGCCCCAGCAGAGCATCCGGGGTCCTCCTTTGCGGGGTCCTCCATCCTGAAGCTTAAAGAAGCCACCTTGAATGCTGTAGATCAAGTCCCACGGCTAGTGAGCCGCAGACCTGGGATTTGAAATGAGGTCTGTCTGACTCTCAAGCCTGGGGGATCAGGTTGTCCTTCCTCCCATGACGTGTGCCAGGCCCTCCATGTACATTTTTATATTCCGTGCTGCAGCAAGCCTGTGTCATAGCTTATATGAGCCTCAGTTCAGAGTTGTCACCTGGAGTCACTTCCCACTCTGACTCATTTTTGTTTTCAGATGAGAAGGGTGGTTCCATGGGTTTCTCTTCATGGAGCAGCCTTTCTAGATGCCCTTCACCGCTCTAATTATTTCTCTTTGGACCTTTTCTAACCTTCATATGTCCTTGCTGGGGCGTAGTAACCACGGCTGCGCGCAGCAGTCCAGATGCGGACAGCCTGGGTTAGGAGTAGGATGATGTTTTATTTTGCTTCCGGCATCCCTTGTGATGCTATTTAGAGCTTCTTGGACGTGGGGGCCACAGAGAGCTGTTAGATCAATCTCTGTAGAACATCAGAGCCATTTTCAGTCCTAATTTCTGCGCCTAATAGTTTAGGGCCCATCATCTCTTAGCGGCGGTTTGGATTGTCTTAACCTCACTAGGGAGGAATCTAATCTGCAGTTTTCTGCCCTCTCGCCCGGCCCTTTGAGAGCTTCCGAGGTTCATCTCTTTGCCGTGTCATCAGCTTGCCCTTTCCCCCTCTCAGACGGCTTGGGGTTATCAGCAGACCCGCGGACTTTGCTGTATCAACCCCTAGCCGGACAATTTATAGAAATGTTAAGATTGGCCCAGACAGCAGTCTTGGGAGGCCTGCACTGTTTAAAATTCTCCACAGAGAGAAAAGTCGGTTTTTCAGGTCAAGTGGCTTCACTTTGGGGATCAGTATAAGGCATTTTTCTTTTTCTTTTTTTTTTTTGCCTAGTTTCTGCTTTGCATTTGCTCTACCCACATCGTGAGATTTCCCTCTGCAGAACTCGCTGCCCAATCTTGAAGGACACCTGGTCCTCTGAGGCAGCCTCTTTTATTTTTCTATTAAGCACGTAACACTTTTTGTTCCCGCAGTCTACTGTCTTTGGTATTTAGTCCTGTTAGTCAAATATGCAATCAATTCCTCGAATAAATTAAACCTGTCCACTCTATCGAGCATTCAGAATTACAAATCTAGTAGCGTTCTGATAGCTAAGTCATAAACAATACTAGGCAAAAGGGAATCTTCAGTATGTTTCTTGTAAATTAGGCATAAAGAGCCTTCTACAGAACAAGTTTGGCCGCATCTACTCGCAGCCTCTGACTCAATGTTTTGGTTTGGAGCTTTTTAGGGTGTTCATTTGCATGGCAGCAGGAAGAACATTTTCCATGCCAATGAACATTGTTTGTTGTGGGTAATCCTTGTGATGCTGAAAACATTAAATTCTGTGGTTCCCCCTCCAGAGAAAGCTTGAAAACCTGGGAGAGTGACTTTGTCTACACGCGGCCCAATTAACACAATAGTGATGGAGCCGCAGTTCTTTCTTCCAGGGTTTACTGAATTTGACTGGTATGATTTCACTTGCGAAGAGACTTTCTAGATACTTCCAGTTAAGAATGCCTGTGAGCGGAAATATCCTCAAACACTTCCACGCCTGTCATCCAGCTCCAGCCATTAGCTAATCTCGTGCTCAGTGAAAGAAATCTGGCCGAGAGGAGGAAGCAACACTGAACTAATTTAACCCTAATTGTGGCTGAGACATTGTGGGATAAATGGGCAAGGTCAGAGGAGGAGGTGAATGTTGGGGACATCTTAATGTTCAGAAAGTCATTAGCTTTGCCCTTTTTTTTTTTTTTTAAATTGAAAATACATTGGGCTGTGTATTGGTTAAATGCAGATGGCTGCAAGATCAGGAAAACACACACACAGCTTTACAAATAAGTGTTTGCTCCCCCACCCACACACATAAAGCCTGGAGGTGAGTAGTTCAGTGTCAGTACAGTGGGTGTTATTAGTCTCTCTGGCTGCTTTCCTTGTGCTCTGCCGTCAGATAATATGGTGGCTTATTGCCTTGTGGTGACATCATTGCTGCTGCCCCCCTGTGACTGGGGAAGGAAAAAGGTAGAAGAGCAAGTGTCAAAAGGCCGTGCTAAGTCTCTCCCTTTATGCTAGAAACCACCGCTGGGAAGACTCCCAACAATGTCTCGTGGCCAGAGCTGGACACCTGGCCTCCCCAGACCAAGCACCAGCCAGAGAGAATGACATGACCATTCCTGATTTAGATCAGTCTGTCCTCCGGGGCTGGGGTAGTTGGGCCTGGCTACTCTCATGAATACATTCAGGTTCTGTCCATAGGAGCGAAGGGGAATGGCCTGGCAATCTATGCAATAGATGGTACCAGCCTTAGGTTGTAAGATGTAGACATGATTGTGGTAGGGAATGGCCAATCTATTCCGTGATTTTTGTTTTACCTGAGATTTGCATCGTTGATGGATGCGATTCCCTTTCACCTATCATTTCCTCTTATCCTGGCATAGGAAGGCTACTAATATGTAACATTCTTTATTTATATAACATTTAGGATCATTTGCTTATTGTCATTCGTATTATACAATTCCTTAGAAATCGTACACACATCTATATGTGCCTCTGTGTGTGTGTGTATGATTTCTAAGAAATTATATAATACGAATGACAATAAACAAATGATCTTCCATTTTCCAATGCATCTTAAATTTAAAGATACAGATGTCTGTATCTTTTTACTAAAGACCAAAGAAAGAAATGGAGTCCGCAATTAAGTCTGGACTATTTGCCTGCCTAGCAGAGGAAGTGAATGCTTCCCCCTTCTCCAGGGCTGCCGTCCTGAACATTCTGTTTGTGTCGGACTTTATCAGGAGGCTGTAGCCACAAGCACATACTGCCACGGTGGAGAATGTGACCGTGATGAGGAAAAGATGGTGGCAAGAGATAAAAATAATGAGTCAAACTTAAGCCTGATGATAGGTTATTTTCCCTCACACTTAATTATATAACCGAGATACTTTTTTTTTTCCTCCTTATGATCAAAATAGCCTACTATTTATCATACTGCCATTAACAGTTTAATTACTAGTGACGGAGGAGGGCGATTTGCGGGAACCTAAAATTATGGCTAATCTCTGCGAAGGAAAAAAAAGTAATTTAGTGCTTGGATAAGATAAATATGTTCTCATGTTGATTTCATGAATAAAGCAAGTGTTTAATGTGGTAGGCATCTGATATCGAAGAATCACAGCAGTGAAATGTAGCATTTTGAAATAATTTTACTTAATCTCTTCGCATGTGGGTCTACCTCGGGTCGAGCGATGCCCCTCAAATCAGGTTTGCACGAGGGAAAATCTCCATGTCGCATTAGCGTGGAACGTCAGTGTTAGTCATGTCCTCTAGGAACCAGGTAGTGTGTTCGATTCAGCTTCACTTTTGGGTTATAATTAGGCAGACCATGTAATTTATCATCTGAACTGGGGCACTTTTTTTTTCAGCTTAAGAATTTATGGTCTTGGGTAGATAAACATGACTTCATTACAGGGCGACATAACTTTCAGCAGATTACCTCAACTGGTCATAGCGTTGCCTCCCTGGTTTCCAGGTTGTGCAGCAATTACTGTGAGAGTGTGATTGCATTTTAGGTCTTTCTCCACATTTCCTGATTTCTTTTGGGCTCACATGTCCATGCGGCGCCTTCCCCTAGAGTAACAATTCTGGCCTCTCCCCCAGGCAAAGGAAGTGACTCACGTTACTGGGGAGTTTGAGAGAAGAAATGAGCATGCTTGGCCAGGCCTGTCTGGGCTTTCTCCTGCTATTCTGCCTGCCCACAGCAGGGGGGAGCAGGGGTGTGGGGTTCTGGAATGATCTCTACAGGGGGCAAGCTTTCTGGACAGGTTCTGCTCTTGTTTCAGGGAGGGGAAGAGAGTGGGGGAGGTGCTCATAAATTGGGTAAGTTTGATTAGCAGGGAATTAATTAATAACAGGGAGCCCAACATGGCCACAACTTAAGCCCCTTCCTCTAATCAAGCATGTATAGATAATAATGCTAATAGTAATCTCTACATGTTTAATTTCTGCTTCTACTTCTTAATTGATTACATCTGTCCTGGGGACTATTTATTTTCTACCTTGAGATAGGCAGCTATGTTTCTGTTTGGCCATAGGCTTAACTGTTAAGGCCCGTGGCTTAAAAGTGACAATAAACTCGGACGCATTTGGGAGGGAGGTGGCACACATTTGATAGTTACGCTCGGGAGGCTGGGCCAAGAGGACCCGTCATCTGCGGCCCCACATCCCTGGCGTTGATCCTCACGATAACTGGACCTCGCTTATCTGAAGACCAGCCTGTCCTCACCGGGCCTCCGTCAGCTTTGCAGCTCTGAGCTGGATATCTGTGTATCTGACTTGGCTAGCTTTGAGGATCATTCCACATCTGAGTATTTACTTTGGAAAATGGACTTTCTCATCTTAATGCTCTCTTCAAAAAAAGGCCATGAGAATTGCTTTTCTCCTTTCTCTTCTTATGTAAATTATTCTCTTTTCTAGATCCATTATAAAGAAGCGTACAAAACGTCTAAGGACAAGTGTACATTTGTGACGGACACTCCTATGCTAAACCATGTAAAAAATATTGGCGCTTTTATTTCTGAGGTAAGGTATCAAAAACTTGCAAACCGGCTTGCATTTTTCTTTTTCTATTTCTATAGATAAAAGTGTGTGCATTAGAGTTGGAGCATAATATTTTGAAAACACCAGTGAATGTGGGTAATATCTATATGATTATCTAATTCTATGCACTGTGTCAATTAACCCATATAAACTGATATATTTTACTATATATGGTTTATATATTTTATTATATACGTCTGTATTTTGACTCTAACCCTGTCTTATTTATATAGAATTCCTCTTGAAAAGGAATATTTTTATTCAATAAGTAGAGAGCACGGGCAAAATAGTTAATTTTAGAAGTTCTGTGTTTTTTTCCTAATAGACTTATTAGAGACACACTATTAAATGTCATTTTGGAAATAAGTAAGATTGATCAGATTTCAATAAAATGTGATATCTTTGATAAACAATTTTAAGTTAATTTAAGCTATTTTTGAGTAGGATAAAATTCAGTTCACCAGAGGTACCTATTATGAAACCACAGAGTAGGAAATACACTATATTCATTTTCCAGCTGAAAAAATCACGTGGTCTCTCTCTGACAGCATTTCGGACCGACTGCAGTTTATGTTGCATTGTAAAGCACAGTGTTAATAATGATGGCTATGACGAGACATTACTGTGGTCTGTGAATAGATCACTTAGAAGAGATAAATTTGAAATAGAGAATGAATAAAAGTGTTGTAAATGACTGACCTCTAGTGTTCTGTAAATTATGTTGGAGAAAGATCAATGTATTATTTCCGCTAATATGAAACAATTTTGAGGGAAATCGGTAGATTTTCTTTTATTAAGTACCAAAAATCCAAAGAGTGTGGGAAGAGAAGATTTATACAGGATATATGCTAAAAAATCAACACTCACATCTAGCTCAGAGTGGGAGGAATGTTGGGGACTCGTCTACACAGTAAGGAAGAACACAGTTTTGTTTATTTGTGTTAGCTATGTTAGTTCTCCTGCGCAGAGAAATTCTTGATGTTCTCAGTTATTGATTATTTTTCCTGAAGGAGTTAACTACAGAGCGGAAAAATTAGAAGTGGGCAATCTATAGTGTTCCCTTGCATCTAGTTTTCCCAAGAGGAAATGGTGGATGAGTGTTTGTCTTACGGTAACGATTGAGATGGTTTAGAGACAGGGCAGATTAGGGGTGGGAAGGCACAAAAGGACAGAAAAGCACCCCCACCTCCCACTGTAACAGGAGGAGGCTGAGAAGATTTAAATGAAGGAATGCTGACCATTGTGTTCAAGTTCTACACAGTAGTTGCTAACGACTTGTATTTTCTGGAACTACTCACATGTCGACCGTTCTCAGATCGTTTACTCCCTCATCAAACGTGAAACTGTCAATACCACACAAATAGGTTTGCATCTAGAAAACTGCTTGGGTTTAAATAGAAAAATAGAAAATATGTTCTTGCCTGTCTCATTTATAGCTTTCTCCAAGAGAAATTGGATGTATTTCTATCTGTTCAGAATATGTTTGTCAGCTCCAGTATCTAAAATTAAAATGGTCTGCAGATTTTTAAATCAATTCTGTTTCTGAAGAAAGTTTCTTTTTATATTCACAGTAAAAAAAAAAAAAAAAAAAAAAGAATGTTTATTTTTTTTCTTTCTTCCTTCCCAGGCAAAATACAAAGGCACCATTAAGGCAGATCTTTCCAACTCTCTTTATAAGCGGATGCCAGCCACGATTGACAGTGTTTTCGCAAGAGAAGTTACACAGCTTCAGAGTGAGGTGTGTTTTCCTAAATTGTTATACGATTGTGTAGGTGAAACATATAACCTGAGATAAGTTATTTATTATTTTAATAAAATATTTTTTTCTAAGTTGTTGAATACTGAATGCAAGTTGGAAGCAACTGATTAACGCACTGTCATAGTTGCTGGTGAAATCGCAGAAAATGAAAAGGACGTGCAGGTTTATGTCAGTTACTTGATGCTGTTTTTCCATGCACTGCTATTTATAGGGCACATTTTAATCTCATTTAGATAGCTTACACAGATGAAATTCTTATAGTAAATATTAAACTATTCTCTGATTTAACATATGTTCCCTAAGTGGAAAACATTTCGATAGCTCATTAAAAGTCACATAAAGAGATAATAGTTGAATTCGGGATCCGCATGTCTGTGCCCCATCAATTTAAACAAGTGGTTCCTGAAGATCCTTTTCTGTAAATTGTGTTTTCCATTTAGAATATCTCAGGCTACCAAAAAGAGCCTCCGTCAGGTGGAAGTGGCTATTTTGGTGATTGCGAGTTGCAGATGAACTTAACTGTCCTCCTGTAAACCCATTTTGAATCCAGAAGAGTTTGGGGTAATTTTCTCTTTGCAGTACATCAACACATAAGGCATTCTGAATACATTTAATCTATTGCATTTCTTAAACAGAATTTCAAAATAGGATATTTCACCTTTTTCTGACTCATTGTGTTTTCTTCATAGCACAATCTGATTTTTTTTGTTACTTTGTTAATCTATTGCTTGGCCCTCTAAACTACATAAGAGCAGGGACCTCATCTGTCCTGTTCCTTGTTCTACTCCTGTGCTTGGGACAGTCCCTGGAACATAAAGAATGTTCAGTAAATACTTATAAAATGGATTTTTGTTGAGTTCATTCATTTCCTTTTTAAGGATATGCTTCCTTTTACGTAGTTGATATTCTTTATGCCACATTTTAGGTTAATAATAAAAGTAAACACATAGAAGTGCTTACTATGTGTCAGGTGCTGTTCTATGCATTCCACACATATTTATGTTATTTAATTCTCACAACAATCCTATGAAATAGCCCCATTTGAGAGATGTGAAAACAGAAGCACAGAGAGGCTAAGTAACTTGTCCAAGGTGGCACAGCCAGCAAATGGCAGAGCCAGCACAGAAACATAAGCTGGCTCCGTAATCTGAGTTCTTAACCACATGCCATCCCATCGCTTTGCTACCACCTCCACCTTTTTCTTATTAAACAATTTGCTTCTTCCCCCAGAGTCTTTTTACTTTTAAGTAGAGGATACCTTGATAATTTTAAATAGTCTGAAAACAAATTACTCTTGAAAAATACTGAGCATAGTTATCCTTTGCAGAACATCGTTAAATAGTTCATTATTACAAATTTAAACGTCCACTGTGTACCCAACTTGGCAGTAAGCTAATCTCAGTTATGCAACATGAGGCTAAAAATATATGATGTCAAGGTTCTGCATGGCTGACCGTGACTAATATGCCCTTTATTTTTCCTGCCAACATCTGGTCACCTAACCACTTGCTGATAATATGGGCTACTTTAAAAAGCAGATAATTACAGCACAACACTTGATATGTGACAAGCAACAATTATGCAATAAAGAAAGAAAAAAAAATCTATTCTTATTTTTATACTTGGGAAGATAACATTTTCAGATATTTGCAGCCTCTTGTCTTTGGAAGCAGACAACTTTTATGCCCTTTTTATAGCATGCAAGGATCTGCAGTACATAAATACATGTAACACAGAACTGAACATGAAAGATAATCCAGATTGTATATTTTGGAATCTATCATTGGTTTATGTCAGAATAGGTTCTCACTTACATTGTTAACAAGTGTTATCCTGTGCTAGAATACACACCACTGGGAGAGATACATATGCATGCTTAATTAGCAGTGCTTTCTGCTGTTGTAATTGTCACTAAACTTAGTAGTAAGGAAAAACCTGGATTCTGAGTAAGGTGTCTATTTCAAAGAGTTACATAACTGTAACAACATTACTTTAGATTTACATATATCAACTTTTTAGTATTGTTAAAATTGTGATTCTCAGTGTTAATCTGGTAATAAGGGAGGCAAGAAAATAGACTACTGTCTGTGACAATTAAACAACTAAACTTTTACTGTGTCCAAATAGTGTCAGATTTGTCGTCTACTTAATTAGAGTATTAGATGAAGTCTGACATTAAATGGCATTCTAGGTTCTAATGAAATGTCTCCTGGGTTTTTGGCAAACTGTTAAAACAAACTATTATTTTTATTTTTTATTTTTTTTTTGAGACAGAGTCTTGCTCTGTTCCCCAGGCTAGAGTGCCATGGCATCAGCCTAGCTCACAGCAACCTCAGACTCCTGGGCTCAAGCGATCCTTCTGCCTCAGCCTCCCAAGTAGCTGGGACTACAGGCATGTGCCACCATGCCCGGCTAATTTTTTATATATATTTTTTTAGTTGTCCAGCTAATTTCTTTCTATTTTTTTAGTAGAGACGGAGTTTCGCTCTTGCTGTTGCTCAGGCTGGTCTCGAACTCCTGACCTTGAGCGATCCACCCGCCTCGGCCTCCCAGAGTGCTAGGATTACAGGCCTGAGCCACCGCGCCCAGCTAAACTATTATCTTAAAATCAGTTTGCAAACACTCTCAGATGCTTAAAATTCAAACTAAAGTGATAAAGTTAGCTAGATTCATACTTCCTTATAGAAAATGACTGAAAGGAAGAAATTTCTGAATAAAAATGGAGAGAGAGAGAAATGTGGATCTTTTTTTGGGGGAGGCTATTTTATTAGCTATCCCCTATTAACAATTTTATAAACAAAGATCATAAAGAAAGTTTCTGAAAATGGAATGGATCGTGCCATGAAGTGGTGATATCCTTATCCGGGCTGTTTCAGGCAAAGGCTAAGTGACCCCCTATCACAGAAGAAATTCAGCTTTCTCAGGCATCTGAACCGAAGATGTTTATGAGGGTCCATGTTTCATCTCTAGTGGCCCTAGGGTGCTGTTTCAGGATTTCAGAGGTGCCTATGAGATGGGATTAAAAGCCCATTTGCCTATGTAGTACGTATAAAATATACTGTAATTTAAACATATATGTACATTTTATGTATGTATATATGAGATACAAAAATATACTATAAGATCAAATATATAAGTTAAATGTATATATTACTTATATAAATATATTTATATATAAAGTATATAAGACTATTGCAATTACACTCCAGTCTCTAGGTGTCTGGTACCATAACAATCTTAGTTCTCAAAGTATGAAGAAAACAGAATTAATCTAGGGATATGCCACACAATAATGACAAATCCTAAGAAACCAAATTTATCAGAAAATGTATTAGTGTGACACAATTTTCCATTAGCTGTTTTAAGGGAGAAAATTAATATGATAAATTAAAGTTCAGCTGCCTCCAATTTGATGTAATCTTAATTCTAAAGTGGTACTTAGTAGCAGCTATAAATGAAATGACTATTTTAATGCTGCAAGTAGAAAATTACATAGCCTTTTTAAGAAGAAGTGCTTTTTAAAATTGTACTCGATGACTCACCGTTTCTATGATAACCCACAAAATGATCAGCTGCATTGGTTACGATTACAAAGTCACAAGTATGATAGTAGGTGTAAAATACAAAATAAACCAGGCATCCATCAAAAAGGAGATGGGGACATGCTAGCTCTTTTTATTTCAGAAGAAGGAATAAAGCTCATAGAAGTTTTTGGTTGGCTTTGTAGACTTGGGCACCCATTAAATTCTCCCTTCGTCTGCCTTAACGTTATAATATAGAATGTAATGGAACAGAGATAATGGACTTTCTCAACCTGAATGGAGGTTCTTAAAGAGTTTCCTATTTAACATAATTAATTGGTGAACATTTTAAAGACATGTTCATCAGAATTAGATACCTTGATGGATTAGGCTGATAAATGCTAACAAGATGAATTATACCTGGAATAAGGTGAGGTGCTGCATTGAAGTCCTGGTAACCCATCCAATAACCTGGATTAAATGAAACAATTCTGATTAAGATTGGTCAAACCATTGTGGGTACCTTAAGAAAGAGACAGATACATTGGGCTTTGGGTTGGATAAAGCATAGAGGGTGTTCAGGGCTTCAGCACCTTACGCTGTGCTGACGGTCTGGAGGAACAGAAGTCATTGACACCTGTCTTCCATGTTGCAAGTTCTGTCTTGTGAACTAGACTTTTTCTATGCGGCCTCATAGATGTAGCCATGGGGAGATAGACTGGGGTTTCATTAAAGGAAGAACTTTCAATCGGAACTTTTAAAATTTAGAGACTGTGATGTCCCAGGTTTAGTTCTCTTTTGGTAGAAGTTTTTTAAAAACTAGGTGGGGAGCCAGAGAGGGAATTTAAACATTGATAGTTGTACTAGATGCCTTTTTTGGATGATAAGATTTAATAATTTTATTTATAAAAATTAGTTTATAATGATCGCTATAATCCTTTAGATAGGTATATTATCTAAGTTTAATAGGTGGTTAGTTATGTTTATAAAAGCCTATGAGGAGTTTAAGCTTATGAGACTATTTAATAAATTCAATTATTCATCCATTCACTAAACATTTATTACATTTCTCCTCCGTATCATTCACTGTGATAAACACAGGATATTAAAAGATGTGTAAGATAGTCATAGCTCTCAAGGAGTTCATATGGTAAAAGTGTTTTCCTTAAGTTTAACTGTATTCATTTTTCATTGAAAACTAGACCTTGTTTTGTTCTTGGTGAAGAATCTTTTAGTTTTTCTTTTTAAGTTGCCTTTTGTTCTCATGTGTGAAGTCATTCCAATTCCATTTCGCATCCTTTTAGTATAAAACTTTTAATATATTTTAAAAATGAATCTTGCCTTTCCTTCATGTATTATTGTTTTATTCTCACTCTTTCAGTTATTCATTCATTTATTTATTCATTCATGGAGCAAATATTCACCGATGCTAATTTTGTGCCAGGCACTATCGTGGGTTCTGAGGATTCAGGGAACTGGACAGTTATCTTCTAGTAAGAGAAGACAGATGATAAGTAATTCTACAAAAACTAAACGAAGTGATTCAACATTGCAAAGGAGAGAAACAGGATAAATAGAATAATATGGTATAAACTGAGAAACTATCTTTAGGTTCTTCTTTAGTTTCCAACTTCATAGTCAAGTTCAGTTACATCTATTTCTAAGGTATCTTTCTCATGCCCCCCTCTCCATGCCACTATGGAGCAAATTTAACCTGGTGATGATGGATGGTATTGGTCTAATGTTCATTTCCCTAAGGAAGACCAAGGCTTGACGTATCTGAGAATTTTGCCCACATGTTATATTTTCTCCCAAAGGTTTGTGCATTTAAACCTTATATTATCTTACAGCTGTGTCTGTATAAAATCAGACCCATTCATTTAAAAACAAACAATTCACTTGTAAATATCCTATAATTCCTGCCTACTTAATCAATTGCTTTCCCAAGATTTAAACCTTGAACATCTATAATCCTAAAAGCTCTTAGATCTGCACAATTTCCCAAAACTGTACCTGAGATTTAAACTAGATGAATAGAAGTGGAGATTTCATCTTTGGTCAAGGATGTTTTGACATAAACAACAAAGGATAAGAATTAGGAATCTAAACAGAAGCACTAAGATCAGAGCATTATGGAGATTGTCTTGTTACAGAGGCTTAGGCAAATTTAATTATCAGTGATGGTATTTAAATATATAAAATGCTAGCAAAACACTGGAAGTCGACAGGTAAGATTTTATACAGCTTTAAGTGGAGCTAACAATGATTTGTGCTTTTTAAGGTTGCCTACAAGCAGAAACATGATGCCACCAAAGGATTCTCAGATTATGCCCACATGAAGGAGCCACCTGAGGTCAAACACGCCATGGAGGTCAATAAACACCAGAGTAACGTAAGGAAGCCGATTCCTCATGATTTTCTAGAAAATTGTAGCTAACTCACATCAGGGTTTATGATTATTTTGTTGAAATTTCAATATTACCACACCCCTATTCAAAAAGGACTTTAATATTTCTTATCAGTCACAGGTACATCTGAATTCTTCTGTTGATGGTCATGAACGCCTTGCAGAATGCCTTTCAATTGCCAGGTGCTTGCAGACATTGGAAATCTTGCTTTGTACAAGTCAAATACGGATCCTTTGGACCTACTGGGTTATTAGCATTTCCAGAGCATCCCTGACTTTGTTGACTGAAAAAGAGTCACAAAGTCTGTAAATTTAGAAAGGAGACCTTATTTTTTATAAAAGGTTACATCCTGCAGGCTGGCCATCCTGACAAGCTGAGAAGCAAGACAGGCACTTCCAGGGAGGCAGGGGGAAGACAGGAATTTATGCTGAATGCATTGGTCAAGTATACATATTCCACAGGTTATAGGCAGAGCTATGAATATTTATGAAGGAGACCCACACACATGTGTATTAGGTTTACATGTATGTAACATATATCCTTTGATCACTTTAGGGTGGAGATTTAACATTTAAATGTATTATAATTAGTATATGTAAAAATTCCTATATGTACAAAGGTGAAATATAGGGTGCAAGTCTGTGAACTACACGTCCTCAGGAGATGGGCCAGAACCAGTTTGTGGCTGGCAGTTGTTTATTAAAAAGAAACTCTTTGCGGTCCAAAACAGCTGTTGTGTTGGAACCCTACAAACAGGAGGAGGGTGCCAGGGGTGGGATGAAGTAAGCAAAGAAGTCTTCCGGCCCTTTGTTCTTCTCAAGTCAGCCTTTTATAAAATCTAGTAATGATTAGTAAGGGGAAGGCGGGTAGAAGCAAATGAAACATGGCTAGCCTCTGTCTTTTAGTGACCAGGAACTTAAAACTTTGGAGTCTTTTAGCCAAAAGTGGGTCCCTTAATCTGTTGAAGGGAGGTAGGACTTTATTTCATCCCTCAAGTTGAGGCCAAAGCTGATTCTAGCCTAGAATCCCAGAAGAACTGAAACAAAGAGCATCAGAAATCAATGTCCCATGGAGGGATTATTCATGAACACTACCTGTATTGTACACCAGTACTGATTCTTCTGGAACGCTTGTGGGGAGCAAATCATCAAACTTAAGACCCACGGGGAATATGAAAGCAATAGATGCCTAATGGTTGGCTTAGAAGCAGACGCCAAGAGGGAGGAAGTTATCCTGTAGAAAACGAATTTCTTCTTTGCTTGTAAGTTAGCAGGTTCCTGGCACCTTTCACGAATGTGCTCAATGACCATGCTATTCCAGTGGCCTCGAAGAGTCATTTCTTCCTGAAATTGTAGGGGAAGCTTATTTGTCTCATCATGATTTCTGTGTTCTGCAAAAGGAATGTGTGAACTGTTTGTCAGGTTCTCTAAGGGTTGGAAGCGGTTAGTGACAAAGTGTCTGTCCTAGTTGGGTCAAGAAACTCCCTCTCTTGGAAAAGTATCCGAAGCACCTTTGTCATCTCACACAGCGGCCATTCCACCCCTGAGTGCTCTTACTGAGTTGTGCTTTGCTGCCGCTGTACCCTAGAGCCTCCTCAAGCAGAGTGTCTCTTTGCAGGATGGCGACAGTTATTCGACATTAAATTGCAATAGGTCAATGTTTGAATAAAAACCAATGAGGTTTTACATTGTAACCCACATGCATACACATATGCCAATACCAAACCACTTTTCTAAGGTGATTTGAGATTGCTAGGAGATGGAGCCGCCACATCTCTGTAATTATTTTGAGGGTTATTTTAAGGGGATGCTGTTTGCTTACAGAATGACTGTGCTAATCATAATAACTACCACTTACAGAGCACATGCCACTTACCACGCACCAGGAACTGTGCCAAGACTTTGATCATTTCTAATTCCTGCAAAAACCCTGTACTCATTCCCATTTTGTGGATGACGAACATGCGACTAAGGGATCAAACTCCCGATTCTGCTCTTTCTGTTACACCTCACTGCCGCCCTCTTAAAGGTCGCTGGCAATTAGTCAAGATTTTGAATGAAATTTTAAAAACGGGGAACAAAATTGGTCATCTTCAGAATTCAGATGCACTGCGGGAAAGAATAACCGAGAAACCCCAAGTTCCCACTATTTTGATATTGAAGAGACTTTGAATTTGCACAAAAGTCCATGGGTTAGAAGGTGGTCTGGTGGCTTGGAGTAGGCGCCGATGTTACAGGCATCCCAGGGAGGCTGTTTCTCACTCTATAATTCAATGAAATTCAAATACGGAAGTTCCTTATCATAGAACTGGGCTTATTATTTTAACTCTGCCTTTTCTTTTAAAAGGTCTTTGATTGAGGGATTGAGGGAATAGAGTATGAAGCCCTTTTCTCCTTCATTCAATACTGTGTACTTATGGGAGAAAGACGTGTTTACTTACACTCCTCTGCCGACTCGACTCAACCTTTACATGCAAAGTTTGTACATATAATAGGATTTAGAAAGTGTTTAAGACTATTTACTCAGATTTAAAGTGAGAATGATATTTGTATTCTACCTGTGAAGTAGTTGATATTCCTCTAGAGTCAAGCCACTTAGAATAATACATTTGTTGTCCCTACGATATGAAATTTAAACACAGGTCTTGGAAGCCACAAGGAAAGCTGGTACATCTCTTGGTTCAGTGGGTGGATCTACAGAATCTCTGTCAAAGACAGACTCCCATAAAACTGTCTCCTGTAAAACTTCAACCCAATGAAACTCACTGCGGAGAATTTGCTAGTAGAATTACCCTTTCATAATGTGGACTGTCACTCTGCATTATGGCGACAAATGACTTAATTTAATTTAAAATATAAACGTGTCATCACATATGAATCCGATTTACCTAAAACAATGAAAGTCAGCATCTTTGTTTACCTTTTTTTTATGTTCCCACCAAAATCAAGTCAGCTTTCTAATATTTGTTAAAGAACCAAGATTTCTTTCCTCTGTACCTTTAGCAATGTGAGTAAGTGGAAGATGAGAGGAAAGATTCTTTGTGACTGTCCAACTGAATTCTCACCTCTGAATACCAGAGCTCTAAGGCGAAGAGATGCTGGAGGCAGTGGTCTCTTGTGTCACACCAAAATTGAACGATCCCAAAACAGGAAAAACGTTATTTTTCAGAATACCCTCCGCTGTAGCATATACTAGAAAAGAAATTTGGAGTCAGACCATGGTTAAAATGCTTGCTTTGCCACGTGTTGCCTAAATGACCTCCTTAATATCTCTCGATCTCAATTTTCTCATCTATAAAATGGGGACAACAATACCTACCTCATGGGACTCTCACGAGTATTAAATGAGATCATATATGCAAAGGGCTCCGCAGAAGAACCACTCCACAAAATGTTAGACCTATGTGGTCCTCCTTCAGTTTTTAAAGGGTGACTTGAGAGTTTAGGGTAAAATCATAGTTAATTTGAAACAATTAAAAGGAGTTTAACTTATAAAAGGCCCAAATCAGTATGAAATTTATATTAGGAAATGTTTAGGTCAGAAGGACATATTCAAAAGGTTCCTGAACCTATCTTGTTAATACTATAATCAAAAAAATGATTAAAACCAGCCAAACCTAAATCCTTTTGTATCTTAAGGGACATACCCCTGCCAGATTTTTCTAATGGAATTAGAGAAGCTGGAGAGATTCTATCCTGTGACTTTCCCTTAAAGATGGGCTTATAATGAAAACCCCAGTTATGTTATTAATTCTCATCAATCTTATCAGACACGAAGTCCGATAGTTCTGAAGTAAGTTAAACAAATTTTAAACTGCCATTTTACGTTTTATAAGTAATGTGTCAATACAGACTTGTGTTGAAATTGGAGTGGTAAACATTTCCAAGACGCTGTATTGGTAATCGATTCAATGTGTATTTCTAATACCTCTTTCAGCGTGGGAAACAAGAGACTAATGTTCTTTTCAAAAGTGATGTATGTATTTTCTTAAAATTAATAAAAAACTTATCAGTAGACAAACTTTCTATTCCATCAGAAAGTGAAAAAGCTTACAGATAAATCAGTAAAATGATACTAGAAAAACAATTATGGCTCTGTGTGGTTCCCAATGTGACTTACCATTATAGTGCTTTAGGATTTAGTATTAAAAATAGATATATTAGTGTTTTGTTTATCTCTAGGGCAGGATAGTTAGTAATACTTATCCTGCATTTTTTTTTACAAGATTGTGGTGGTAATAAAGTTAAATCATGAATAAGAAAACTTTTATTAACTATAAAATGATTTATAAGCAATGACAATCATAATGATAAACTGTTGTAGCTATAACTCCATATTTTACTCCATCTTTTAGAAGATTGAAAACTTTCCTGTCTTCTGAATAGTATCAGATCCTACATTTACTTATGTTTAAAAGGTTTATATTCTCTTATAGAAAAATAATATTTATAATTTAATAATTTAGTAAGTTTTTATGTATAGCATTGCCCAGACAGAAATAACCATCATTAAAGATAGAATTACCAGGCCATGTGCCTATTTGACATTACCTGGAAGGCTTATCTAATGTGAGAGTTTATGACGATGACAAAAATTTTCTTGAGATTGATTGAACCAGTGCTTTAAGATTATAACTATATACAGGTTATACTTCTTCTGTTCCACAAACTTAAAAGGCTATATATCCTGTCTAGTTTCTTCACCCCAAGAATCATGTTAACCATCAGCAGAACAGCAAAGGGAAGGGTTCTGGGCCAGTTGGATATGCTTCCTTTAAGGTCCACCTGCTCATACCTCCCTTAGCCTCCACAGGTGTCTGTCTGTCTGTGGCTTCCTTCCAGGCTGCCATTCCTGAGCTCTCAATCTTCTCAACTCCACGTGCTTGACTCGTACTTTAAGGAGAGTCTGTGGAGGTTTTGCTTTTCTCTAGTTTATTAACTCACCTACCAAGGAGCCTTGCTGTGTGAGTAGTAAAAGTTTCCTGGAAGGCCACTGTGAATCCTTTGACTATGCACGTGTCCGGCCGTACCTGCAGAATAAAGGCATCCATTTCACTTCCGTTTGCAAAATCTTATGTGAGTTTTTCCTGTTGGCCAAGTTTAACCCAGGACTATAGAAGGAAGGGGATTCTGGAGGGTGTAATTCCAGCCTTAGAAGGTGTTGTTGATGGAGCCCAGGTGTGTGCAGACAACTGGCATGATAGGGGTGGGGTGAGGATTTTATGAATTAATTCATATGAAGGATTGCCTGGCACAGCGAACATAGGAAACATGCAAAAGACGTGGCTCTTAGGAAACCCAGAAGTAGAAAGTTATAAGGAGACAACAAGCTGAGATTAAAAGACAGTAAAATGAGATGAAGATATGCGTTGAGGGTGAAAGTGAACATGGGGAGATAAAGAAGAAACTCAAAGATAAATTATGATGAAATTTAAATCTTTATTGGAGGCAACAAAGAACAGACTCGACACTGGAGAAACATGAAGTGAAGGCTGTATTAGTCAGAACTCTTTAGCTTTAGTGACAGAAATCTACCTCCAGTTCAAGTAAAAATGGGAATTTATTGGTTTATATAATTGGAAAATTCAAGCTATCTTCGGGCATAACTGGACCCAGAGGCTTTGCAGTGTTACGAGGACTCTCTCCCCACCTCTGGGCTCTGGGCTCTGGGCTGTGTACGACACTTTTAGATGGACTCTGTGTGAACTTGAGATGGCAGCTGATGTTCCCAAACTTAAATCATTCTTACAGCAGCAGAACCCAGAGAAAAGGAGAGCAGCTCTTTCTCCTCCAGCCTCAGATCCTCCACGTGACTTTGGCCTTGTTGGGTGCTGTGTCTGCCCTTCCATTAATCATGGTTTCCAAACGGACAGGGCTTCTGATTGGACAGCCTGAGTCATGTGGCCACTTCTGTTGCCCGGAAGGTGGGCTGCATTTGAGAGCCCCACAAAATCACATGGAGTGAGGGAGGAGAAGTTTCCAAATAAAACAAACAAAAAAAAAATGATAGGAAAAAAAATTTAACACATGTCTACTACAAAGGAATTATTTAGGAAAATGACCCAGATACATGGATAAGAGCAAAGAAATAAGTTCAGTGAAATAAAAACAAAGGAAGAGATTAAGGATGTAAGGTAATAATTCTAGGTGTTCCTATAGAAGAAACCAGAATCACTATTTTCAGATGAGACTAATATACTGTTATATACTATAAAAAAAAACTAAAGTAGATCATCTTGGGTACAAGATAAATGTCTAAAAATGACAATCACATGATAATTATTATTTTGCCTAGTGCAAGACCTATAGAGCAAAATGCTGCAACTTCACTGAAAGGTATAATAAAAGATTTAAAGAAATGGAGGCATATGCCATCTTCTAGGAAAAGACTGAAATACTGTTTGGATGTCATTTGTCCCTAAGTCATTTTATAGAGTTCCAGATATTTCCTTTGTGGAATTTACTAAAATTACTCTAATGTTCATAACTAAGAATAAAGAGTTAGAAGTTAAAAAATTTGAAATAGAAGAGTAGTAAGGGAACTTGGTTTAATGGATATTATGGTTGTTTAAAAAATTCCTTGTAGTCAGTTTAATGGATATTGTGGTTGTTTAAAAAATTCCTTGTAGTCGTATATTTAAGAAATGTGTGAGTGGAGCTCTAACCATTAAGTCCTTTATATGGTACACAGTAATCGAAAATGGACACTATTATTAATATTATTATTTTCTCCTCCTCCCCTCTCTTCCTTCTTCCTTCTTTCTCTTTCTCCTCTGTCTTTCTTTCTCCTTCTGTTCCTCCTCCTCGTTCGTTCTCTGCTATGCTCTGAGGAAAGAGTAGTGAACAGAGCATTCAAGAAAATAATGTAAAATCAATCATTGGCCCTCAAGCTTGCACTCATCCTGGGTTGATGATTTTCAGAAATCTTTTCCTTTCTCTCTTCTTATCTAAAATAATATTATACAGAGCACCATATTGTCATGAGAAGACTGAAGAATGGAGGCTAATGTATTGTTCCAATATGGTTAGCACTTAGGGTTTGAATCTACTTAAGAAATAGAAAAAGATACAAGTATGGGTATGTACTTTGACTTCCAAGCCTCTCTTCTGATGTGTAACATTTTTGATTCTTCTGGGTTCTGATGGACGGCAGCATGGGGCAGATGTGTATCACGAAATGTCAGATGAGCTTGCCTCAAACCCGGCAGTAAGTCATCTGTCTGGGGAACCGTGTTGCCATATCATCTGTGTTCAGACATCCTTGCAGATCATGAAATCCGGAGCTTGCTACTCTTGAATGTCCCCCAACATAAGCCCTCTTTCCTGTGGCATATTCCCAAGGAATGATATTATGGAAGCTCTCGCTAGTGATCAGTTAGTTTTCTCCTGTGTGGCTTCGTTGTGTCCTCTTGTTTGAATTTGCGGCTCATGTCAATCTTAATATTTGTTTTGAGTCACATATGCTGGCCTCTAATTTGCAATTTACATGGATGATGGGGCCCTATTCAAAGTCCTGCTCCTGCTGCCTTTGTGCCGTTCACCTCTCTTCACGCAGTCATTAGACTGAACAGCATATAATTAGGTAACTCATGTAAAGCTTAGATTTCTGAAAGGTTGCCGTTCTTTTCAAAAAGTGAGGGTTTCCATTTTTACCCTCATTCTTTCCTAAACAAAAAGACATTTCCCCCCCTGTGGTTTTCATATGAATGTAGTAACTTAGAAACAGTTAGTCCTGTAGGTGGGTAATAATTTTGGTTTGTTTTCACCTGAGAGCCGGTTTTTGTTTACACAGCTTGTATTTAACTCAGCGTAGGCCGAGGTTGATTTGCCATCATTGTGGATGAGTGTGTTGCTTTTGGAAGCCAATGAAATTGGCCTGTTTTAAAATCCCTAAAGATTGAAAATCCACCCAAGAAAACAACTCAGTTTCCAGCTTATTTTTATGTTTCTTTTACTACCTTTATGCACAAAATCTTCCTGAAATGACTTGGTAAGGTAGACCATGAAAATATAAATACTGAAGAAAACAGATGTTCTTGCTGAAATTATACTAATTGTGTGTTCACTTGTCAGAGACAGATTCATGATTATAAATGTAGTTTAAAAAATAGTCTTGGTGGTGAAGCAAATGCAAGCTCATAAAAGAGTAAATAGAAGTGTCTATAAATGTTTCATTGAAATAAAATA